TGAGCATTTATGTAGAGTGAGCTTTGTATCTTAATGAAGGTTTTGGGATGCCTATTTTAGGGTCTGATTGTAAATACGAACATTCATAAAGATACATTATAATAATTATTTTTTTTAACTGAAATACATTGAAGCCCTACTACTATGTTCTAGGTAATGCTAAGCACCTTACCCAATTATCTTATTGAATCCTCACCACAATCTTCTGAAGCAGAAGGTATTTTTGCCCTCATTTTACAGATTAGTCCCTTGGACTACAAAGTCCTTTAGATGATGAAACATTTCTAATACTTCCAGTGTCTCACCTCCCACACTCAAGTTTAAGCTTTATCCATGACAGATTCTAAGGCTGAGTTGATTGTTAGATTGGCTGACTTCCTTAAAAGCCTTGCTTTTTATAAAAGTCCTTAGAGGGTTCTCTTTGGCTATCCAAGGAGTAATAAACCCATGTCTTTTCAACTGAACCCTTTACTGTGATGCTGCCAAAACCCAAACACCTTGGGTTGGAAATCTGTATGGGGATACACTTTGGTCAAAACCGCATCTGTCTTGTGCCTCACAAGTTTTGAATTTAGGGTTCACTTCTATGTTCCTTTCAATCTGGAAATGCGTAATTTCATTTTAAGGAAAAAGAAAACAATCGCTTTAATAAAAGTCTTTATGAACAAGGTTCAGAGGGCTTCTTGGACAACAAATGACTCTTAGAAAACAACATTATGGTGAGTTAAATGTAAATGGTTCAGAAACATGCAGATTAAATTTCCCTGAAAACACGCAAGGGCTTCCAAAATTAATGGGGGAAATAGTTGGACAATGTATATTTCAGACTTCATGCTTTTTCTTCTCTTTTTCGTTCTGTTGATCTTATTTTCTTTTACAAAACACTTCCTAGGGTGACTTCATCTCTTGTGGTCAGGATGCTGTCAGGCCAAGTTGTCATTAATCCTGGTGCATTCTGGGTGGCCCACTCTGGGTATCAGCTGTGTTCCCTCTTGTACAGAGTTAGCTTTTCTCTCTACTATTTGTCTTTCAATATAGGAAAGATATAAAAATAAAAACACAATTTGAAGTCTTTGCCAAGCTTTTAGGCCTTGTGAAAGTCCACTGTGATGACACTTGAGAGACGAATGTGGGAGGTTCTTGTATGTTGAAAACTGATAAATCTTACGTGCTTTAATTCAAAAGATACCACTACGGATATAGATGTGGTAGAGGGACCCATAAATCAAGATTTGAAGATACTTTGGAGGGACTTTTAAAAGGTCTTCTAACCCATTCCCAAGCCTCAGACATATCTCAACATAAAACATGACAGAAACATAATTATAGTCTTATTTCTTAAATACTGCCTTAGAAAAGTTTTCTTCAACATACTTTAGAAAAATATATCTATGTTTTCTCCTGTACAAAAGTTACCTTAAAAATAACCAAATTCCATATTATAGGAATTGAAGTTTATTTTCTTTTTTCTTGTCTTTGAAGGGAGCAAATTCTGGAACACCAGATTGCTACCCATGCCTCTTCTTGCCTGGTCTTGCCCAACCTTAGTCAGTGAAGCTTGTCAGACATTTCTCTCTTTCAAAAGAGAACAATGGTGGCAATGTTTATTCTGTGATTCTTCCTGCCCTATATCCAAGCAATATCATCTCCAATGTTGCCAGAATGCATTAAGTCCTTTCCATCTCAAGACACTATGTAATAAGGAGAAGCCATTTACCTTATTTAATGAGTGCCTAAGTAGTAGAAAATGTGGTAGCTGCTTCCTAGAGCTTAGAGCTTAGGTGGAATTACAGAATTCACATACATGGTTGTGTGAGGGAGATCAGCATATCCTTTCTCCAAAGGCAACTATAAAGCTGGAAAGAACTCATAAAAGCAACTATTTCTGGAACTCAACCAAAAGCATGCAACAGTCAGCAAATCCTTCATGCTTGAAACACTGGTAAACTTTAAGTAGGAATAGTGAGAGTGTGTCATTTCTTGCTTGGGGCTGTACCCATTCCACCTTACCAAGTGCCCAGCTCAGTCTGCATAGAGAAATTGGCAGAGTCAGGCATACCAAGAAAACATTCAGCTTTATTGCCACAGTTGAAGGGGTGTCATTTGATTTAGAATGATGGGCAAACTATGCTAAGCCTTGTGAAAGCGAGAAAGTAGGTAGAGAGAGGGCCTGTGTCTCTTGTAGCCTGAAGTTGCTGTTGTGATTTTATAAAGCCATAAGTAGAACACAATATGGTTAGGTTTCGAGTATATCTAGATGCAGTATATATGACAATTACAGTGCAAATGAGGAGAAAAAGAACGTGTTTATTAGAGTTTCTATATTTTATCAGACTTCATATTAATCCATGCAGTGTATTATGGGTAAATTAAAATGTATATTTTAATCTTTAAATAGTCACTGATAAATTATTATTAGAATAAAAATAATCAGAGAAATGTAAATGATACAATAAAAATATATTTTTTAAAGATTATTTATTTATTTGAGAGAGAGAGAGAATGAGAAGGAGAAGGGGCAGAGGAAGAAGGAGAAGCAGACTCCCCACTTAGCAGGAACCCGATGTGGGGCTTGATCCTGGGAGCCTGGGAACATAACCTGGGCTGAAGGCAGATGCTTAACCAACTGAGCCACCCAGGCGCCCCACAATAAAAATATTTTTAACACTAAAGAAATTATTAAAGGAGGAACAGAGGGCCCAAAATATAGGAAACATAGAAAATGAATAGCAAAATGGTAGGTATAAGTCCAATTATATCAATAATTACATTAAATGTGAAAGGTCTGAATGCTCTGATCAAAATGAAGAGATTATCAAAATGGATCAAAAAGCAAAATCCTACTATATTCTGACTACAAGAATACATTTTAGACTCAAAGACAGAAATAGGTTGAAAATAAAGGATGGGAATAATCTACCAGGTAAATAGTAACCATGGAAGATCTGAAGTGATCATTTTAACATCAGACAGAATTGAGTTTAAGATAAGAATTATTGATAGAGACAAAGAGGGACATTTTATAATGGTAAAAATGCCACTATATCAGGAATATATAACAATTATAAATATATGCACACCTAACAACAAAGCCTCAATATAAATGAGGCAAAACCAACTAGAATTGAAATAATTGACAATTTAGAGAGTTGGAGATTTCAGTACCTTACTCTTAAAAATTGAAAGAACAGTTCCAGAATAAATCATCTAACATGGAAGACTTGTGCTTATACTTTCAACGAACTCAACTTCTGTTTTAAGAATACTCTACCCAGAACACTCTACTCTGTGTATTGCAAAATATATATCTTTTCAAACAGATGATGTGATATGACTGTGGAAGATCTCGAGGAATTCACAAACATACTAGAATTAATCTACGAGTTATATGTACACAAAAAAGTGTTCCTATATATTAGCAATAAACAGAAATAAAATTAACAAAACAATTTGATACCTAATAGCCTAAAAAATCCAATATGGTTAAGTGACAATTCACCCCAAATTGGTGAATAAGATCAATGCAATCTCTATCAAAATACCAGCAGGCATTTTTGTAAAAAATAACAAAAAATTTTCTAGAGTTTGTGTGTAAATACAAAGGATCTAGATAGTCAAAACAAGGTTGGAAAAGAAGAACAAATTGGAGGCATTACTCTACCTGATTTCAAAACTTACAAAGACATGTGGTATTATGGAAGGATATACTTAGTAGATCCATGGAACTGAAGTGAGGGTCCAGAAGTAACCCATTTCATTAAAGGATAATTGATTTTCAACAAAGATGCCAAAACAATCAATGGGGAGAGAATTGTCATTTCAACAATAGTTCTGGGACAATTGGATTCCGTGACAAAAACTGTATTTAGGGGCTTACCTCACACCATGCATAAAAATTGACTCAAAGTGGATTATAGACCAAAGTGTAAGGGCTAAAATTACATAGTTTCTTCAGGAAAATATTGTAGAACATCTTTGTGATCATGAATAGGTAAAGAATTCTTAAATATGCCTCCAAAAGCATGATCCATAAAAAACTGATAAATTGAGCTTTATCACAATTTAAAATGTTTGTGTTACAAAAGACCTTTTTAAGCTAATGAAAAGATGAGCCACACACAGGAAGAAAATATTTGCAAGTCATAGTTTTAGTGAAGTAACAGAATCTAAAATATGTAAAGAACTGTTATAACTCAATAACAAGAAGATAAACAATCTGATATAAAAATGGTTAAAAGATTCAAATGGACATTTTACCAATGAAGATATTAAAACTGCTAATAATTATTGTAAATTAAATGTTCAGCACCAGTAGCTGTAAGAGAAATGCAAATTAAAGCCATAATGATATACTTCTGCATACATACTAGAATGGCTATAAACTAAAAACCAGGCAATACTGACAATTGGTCCTGCATTGCTGATGGGAATACAAAATTGTACATTCACTTTGGAAAACAGTCTTGGAGTTTCTTAGAAAGTTAAAGATAACTTTATATAACTCAGCAATTTCACTGATAGGAATTTACGGGTGAGTATGTGAATGTTCATAGTAAAAAACAGAAACAATTCAAATGTCCATCAAGTGATAAATGGATTACAAATTGTATATGCATAGAAGGGAGTACTATTCAGCAATAAAAAGGAAATAAAAACCATACTGATTCATGCTACCATGTGGATAAACCTCAAAAACATTATACTGACTTAAAGAGGCCACATGTAAATAACTACATTTTGTATGATGCTGTATCTAGGAAATCTCCAGAATAGGCAATTTTATAGAGGAGGGAAGCAGATCATTGGTTGCCTGGGGCTGAGGGTGTTGTGAGAATAAACTACAAATGGGCATGAGTGTGCTTTTTGGAGTTTTGGGAATATTCTAAAACTGGATCATGGTATTGGTTGTACAATTCATCTGGTTAAAAATCATTGCATTGGACACTTATAATTGAATTTGGTACATAAAGCTGCTAAATTAAGGGAGAAAAAGGTCTTGGGCTCACTTTAGCATCAACATGCACTGAAATTGGAAGGATACAGAGAAGGTTGGCATGGCCCATGCTCAAGGATGGCATGCAAATCGTGAAGCATTTTATACTTTCTGAGGCACAGCTTAATAAACCCTAGAGCTGCCAAAAAAACCCCACAAAGTCTTATTGTATGTGTACCATTTACCAGACACAGGACTAGGTGCTGGCAATTAAGGGAGACTAATTCAGATGAAACACCTGCTTCTACGGGGCTTATAGTTTGCAAGAGTCTGTAAGGATTTGGAGCACATTAGCATTGCCAGCTTCTGAAGTTTCAGAAAAAACCCAAACTACGTTAAAAATACTATATTCCCCCCAAGGAATATTCTGTAGAACTTACATGGAATTTACATTCCCTAATGTAAATGGAACTTACTTTCTATTCTAGGGGACTTGGGGAAGATGAAAATAAGGGCATAAGCACATAAATATAGAACACTTCAGGAGGTGATAAATGCTCCTAATAGAATAAGACAAAAAAAAAAAAAGAGATTAAAAATGCTGAAGGAAGAAGAAGAGGTATTATTTTAGGTAGGACAGTAGTGGAAGGCATCCTTGACAAGGTGACCTTTGGCAGGAGACCTAGGAGAATGGGAGAGGGAGAGCCATGCCAATGTCTGGGGCAAGAGCTCTCCGGGCAGAGGGAGCTGAGTCAGGGATGTGTGGTGTCTTTGAGGACTGGCTAGGAGGCCAATGTGGTTGGATCAGACTGAGTGAGTGGCGAGCATAAGAGATGAAGTTAGAGGGAGCTGGGTCAGATCCACTAAGGCCTGAAACATACTGTACGACTTTAAATTTTACTCTGAGTGAGCTTAAGGGCCTGCTCTGTTTTGAGCAGAGAAGTGAAATGATCTAACATGTTCTAATGGTTCATCTGGCTGCTGGTGGAGAATAGGCTGTGGACTGCAAGGCTGGAAGCAAGGTGCTCAGTTTAGAGGCTATTCACAGTCACCCAGGAGAGAGACACCAAAGGCTCAAATCAGAGTGACAGCAGTGTACATGAGAAGAAGTAAGTGGGTCCTGGTATGATACGGTGACCAGAGAGGCCACAGTGTTTGCTGCCGGATTGGATGGCAAGTGTGGGAGAAAGAGGAGAGCCAAGGGTGATCCCAAGGTTTCTGCTGGGAGAAACTTGGACTAGGTTATGAAACAAATGTCCTTAGGACGGGTCACACCTTAGCCTCGTACTGTAGGTAGGACCACATAACGTTAATTGCTAAGGTCCTGATGGATTAGGACAGCAGAACGAGACAACTGGGCTCTCCTCATACAGTACTTAAATCCGATTCCATAGAGTGGTTACTTTGTGAGTGTTCATTTTTGTTCCTGACACCATACTTATAAAGGGTTTCCACTGCTACTGCTCAGGAAACAGTAAAGCCGACCTTCAAATTCCTGACGTCTTAAAGATGGCGGCTGTCCTCCGTATTCTGTGGCCTCTCAAGTACCTTCCCCACCAGATGGCAGCGCAGAGGTTCAGAGGCCTTCAGCACAAAGCCTCTTTCCTTAATGAATATAAATGAAAAGCACTAGGCCCTTTTTTCAGGCAAGTCAGACTTTCAGTCTCCCTCCTATCTTCCCTCTCCCCACCGAGGGCAACCTCTTCCAATAATCAGCCTTCTAGACTATAATAGAGGCTTTTAACTTTATAATCTCTTGTCACATTACTCAGCAGCCTCATCCAGGCCCAGGAAACCATTTCCTGGAGGCCTCTTTTTTATTTGTGTTCATTAGCTCCGCTAATACATTCTCTTGGAAACCACAGTTTAATAAATTTCATAGTGCATGACCAGAGGACTTAATGAATATTAGTCACTCGAAGCAATTTTTGTTTATTCAGCCTCTCTTACCTCTCCTCCCTTCCCTTACCCCGGACTTCGTTCTGCGGAATGATAATAATACGCAGAGAGCTGGCTGGCCACAACAGACTAAAAACAAGAAGTAGAAGGATCTTTCTGAGCTCACACCTGTTTTAAGATTTGTTATCCTTAAAACGAAAAGCTGTAGGGATTCACTCGGCTCCTTCCTTGTAGCTCCCAGTGGACCTTGCTATTAAACCGCAGGGAGGAGCCCAGCCTTCAGAGCACTTAAAAGTACTTATGTCAAATCCATCCCATTCTTCCGGCCTCCGTTCCTGAATCCAGCCACCATTCCCAGGGGCTGGAGCACATTACAAGGCATTCACTTCATATGAATGGGCACAAACAGACTTTTTCACCATTTAGATATGTCTACATTTGCAGGCACATCCTGTAGGCTGCCTGAAACAGCCTTAATTTCAATTTACTGTCTCCCCAAGGATCCTGCCATTCTCCCGAAAGTGGAAAACTCACTGGTTGTTTCTCCTCACTGACCTCTCACCCCAGCCTCTGTCTGCCCTCCTCCTCTTTCAAGGAAAAAGCTGTACTGGGAGGAATATTTTGCACAAGATGAATAGAATGAAGTTTTGATGCTTCTAACAGTGCATATGATCTTCTGTTTAAAAAAAAAATAATGAGCACCAGATTATCACATTTGGAAAGTGTTCAAAGTCAGTTCACAAAACCCAGTAAATGCCGACATGGGTCCCCCTGGTACGTGGCTATACGAGGGAGCATGAAGTCGTAGTCTTGAACTTTTACGTTGTCATTTCTGTTCTGTTGGGTCTAACTGCCTTTAACTTTTACTTACAGAAACTTTTAAATGAATGCAAAAGTAGAACTCATAGTATAATGAACCTCCATAGATCCATCCTTAACTGTCACGATCATCAACATCTGACCAATCCTATTTTATCTAATCCTCCTCACACATGTATGCATCTTCTTTACTTGGAGATTTAAAAACAAGTGCAGATGTTAAGTCTTTTTCCCTGTAGACAGTTCTGTATGCACTGCTGACTGATAAGGGCTTCCTCCTTTTACCATAATCACTGTGTGAATATCACACCTAACAAAATTAATGAGAATTCCTTAAAATCATGTAATACCCAGTCCATATTTATTTTTCCCAGATTCCCTCAATCTGTCTTTTTGTTGTTCAGAATCCAAGCAAGGTCCAGTCTTTGCAGTAGTTGTTTTATCCTGAAATCTCTTTTGTCCTACAACTCGTTTTCTTCTCCTTCTTCTTCTTTTTAAATCTTATGGCATAGACTTGTCGGTGATATTCAGATTTTGGTTCCGTAGAAATGTCCCACACCAGAGATTTGACTAATTGCTTCTTTGTGGTGTCATTTCACTTGCTCTTATATTGTTAGGGCTATTTCTGGCAGAGAAAATTTTGGCTGAGTTCTTCAGTCTTAAAGTGAACAAGACACACACTTAGGTAGCTAAATGGATCAGACTATTAGGGGCCATCATCAGTTTGCTTTGCCATCTGGAGCTGGACTTACTCTTAATTCATCCGATATATATAATGTTGTCTCATTCTGTACCAGGCACTGTGCTGGGCTTTGGGAATGCAGAACGAATATGGAGGGTGGGGATGTGGGATGACTGAGAAAAACATGGACCTTTTCCTCATGAAACTTAATGGTTGTGGGTCTTAAAGCACCACTTAAAAAGACACCTGTGTTGGGTTCTCATAGCACCTTTATCAAGTCCATTAAGTATAAAGCCATCTCAAGTTTACCGAAGAACACTGAGGATGAAGTGACGGGAACTATGAGCAAGAACTATACCAGAAATCAGTAAAGGAGAAGTCAGACATCGATCCTCCTGCGCTTTTGGATTCCAGTTCTTTGATAAATTAATTTTGGATCTGAAACTCCATCACAGGTAGATTAATACTGCTAAAAAGATTTAGGCAACTTCTGAACCAAGTTAATATACAATTACCGACTTAGCCTCCATTACAGAAGAAGTTCCTTAAGAGTCCCTTGATTGTGACACTTAACTCCAAGAAACCACCAATGAGTTGAAATAATTACATTGAAAAGTAGTGTGCACAGATGAAAAACAACTGAAATGAGAGTTGCACAAAATGAAACTTTCTATCTCTTCCCTATTAGTGTGTAAGAAACTGATATTTCAAAATCTATTTGGATTTCTTTGTATTCCACTTTATTTTTAAAAAATGCTGGTTGTAGCCCAGTAAATGAATATTATAACCCACCAGTGAGTCAGGGCCCACTGATTGAAAGCCTATCTTTGCGCCTTTGAATTCACATTGGAGGAAAGAATTGAGATGAAGGTTTTCAGAGGCTATAAAGAGCATCCTCCTATTGATGTTTTTCTGCGTAGAATGGTTGGAAAGCAAGGTGGAGGGAGACGCTTGGGACAAAGTAGAAGCTTGGGAATTTCAAACGCTTTATTTATAAGGAGGAGGACTAAAACTTGTAAGTGGTTTCTACATGCTGGATGTTATTCCATTTTATCTTATGTAATTCTCATAAAAATATGTCAGACTAGCTTTTACCATTTACAAGTCACATGAGAAAACTCGTCTTTCTGTGATTAGGTAATGTGTTTGAGCTGACAGAGTTAGTAAAGGCACAGAATACTAACCAATTGATAGGGGCCATATCTCCTGGTGATTGGGGACCCACAGAGGTTGGAGCCAGTACTCACTTTGAATCTTTGTTGTGTTGCTTATTGACTCTTTCAACTAGTTAATGAGGAATGAACAACATAAAGTATGCAAAGACTCAGCATCACGTGGGCAAAGATTATATATATGTATGTAAAATATATATATGATACATATTAGAATATAAATATATATAAGATACATATATTTATATATGAATGGGAAAGTTTTGTTCCTCAAATTATCCATTGGAACAAGACAATATGTTGAAGATAAGACATTGGTTACATTTCTGAACTTGCAGTCTGCTAGCATCACCCATTGTCATGTTTCCTAAGTCAGTAAACACTGCCTGTGGTCAGAGCCCTGTATGGACCAAGCACTATAGCAAAACTAGACAAGCAAACAAATAGACAAATTCAACAACAGGTGTCAATCTCTGGCAGAGAAATTTGATAGGGTGAACCATAATTCTGAGCACTAGCCCACTGTCTCACCAAGACTAGGTCGTTTTTTTAAAACCCAGAGATTTGGTGTTTCTATTGGCATTGTTCTGACAATATTTC